ATTGGATTAATCAACTTCAAATTGAGAAAATGTCAAAAACCTAAAAACAATCAACTTCAAAATAAGAATAAACAACTTCAAATTGGAATAAACAACTACAAATTGAGATATTTTTTTTGGTAAATTGAAAATTATTTTTTTTCAATTAATTTACCCCATGAGTAAGGAAATTGACTGTTCGTCTTCATTATATAGATGAAGAAAAACAAAACAAAATACAAACAACTTAGAGGCCAAGAAAGCACTGGGTGAGCCTACAGTAAAAGTAGGAGGAGAAAGTCCCGTATGGGCAAAAATGATGATTGTTGATGATGCTGGAGAAACCTCTACAAAAGAAGCTGAAAAGAATTAACCTCAGTTTCAAAGAGGACTTACCTCAAGAAAACTGTGGCTGGCGAAAAAAAGGCCCAGATTTTAGCTGCACATGCCGCAGCAGAAAATTGGAAAGACCTTGCAAGAAAAATTGGTGTGCCTCTTCCAACAGCGTACCGTTGGTTAGACCAGGGTGCTGATAAGAGTGACTCTAGGGGAGGAGCAAGAAAATATTAAATTACGCAAGAGCATAAGAATTTTATGGCCGAATTAATTGAAAACTCTCCTAGGATCACTCTTCAGACATTGTAAATAAGTTGCTCGAAAAGGACAAGGTTCGTGTGACGAAAGAATGCATAAGGAAGCATTTGGACTCCATGGTCTTTACTTTAAAAGCGGTTCATTATGAACCAGAAGCTGCCAATAATAATGTCAATAAGGCGAAACGTAAGGAATATGCAGTAGCTTTATTAGAATGTCAGTCCCAAAGTTTGCCAATTCTTTATATGGATGAATCCAATTTTAATCTCCATATTTCAAGAAGAGAAGGTCGCTCTAAAAAAGGCACGAGGTGCACTACAGTCGCGTCCGGATCCAGGGGAAATAACATCCATGTTATTGGATGTATTAGTAATAATGGATTAATTCATCATAAAATTAAAAGAAGTTCTTTCAAAAAAGAAGATGTGAAAGAATGGACCAGGGAGTGCCTTAGAAAGGCAAATGAAATTTATGAAAGGGGAGTTTTCTTAGTTATTGATAACGCTCCTTGCCATACTTCAATTGAAGAAGTTGTGGAGGAGGATGAATTTAGGTAACACCAAATTTTCAGACTTGCCCCCCTATAGTCCGATGTTAAATCCCATTGAAAAGGTTTGGTCAGTCATTAAAGCTGATGTAAAAAGAAGTATGGCAGACTTAATTGTTGGAATTTTAAGAGGTGATTTTAAGAGTTGATTAACCATTTTGAAGTTGATTGATCCATTTTGAAGTTGATTAATCCAATTTGAAGTTGATTATTTCTCATTTTGAAGTTGTTTTCCATTTTGAAGTTGATTAATCCATTTTGAAGTTGATTATTCCGTTTTGAAGTTGATTAATCCTTTCTGAAGTTGATTGATCCATTTTCAAAGTTGATTAATCCAATTTGAAGTTGATTATTTCTCATTTTGAAGTTGTTTTCCATTTTGAAGTTGATTAATCCATTTTGAAGTTGATTATTCCGTTTTGAAGTTGATTAATCCTTTCTGAAGTTGATTGATCCATTTTGAAGTTGATTAATCCAATTCGAAGTTGATTATTTCTCATTTGAAGTTGTTTTCCATTTGAAGTTGATTAATCCATTTTGAAGTTGATTATTCCGTTTTGAAGTTGATTAATCCTTTTCTGAAGGCAAAATTGATCCATTTTGAAGTTGATTAATCCAATTTGAAGTTGATTATTTTCATTTTGAAGTTGTTTTCCATTTTGAAGTTGATTAATCCATTTTGAAGTTGATTATTCCGTTTTGAAGTTGATTAATCCTTTCTGAAGTTGATTGATCCATTTTGAAGACCCAATTAATCCAAGAGGATGTTGATTATTTCTCATTTTGAAATTGTTTTCCACAAAATAAGTTGATTAATCCATTTTGAAGTTGATTATTCCGTTTTGAAGTTGATTAATCCTTTTGAAGTTGATTGATCCATTTTGAAGTTGATTAATCCAATTTGAAGTTGATTATTTCTCATTTTGAAGTTGTTTTCCATTTTGAAGTTGAAAATCCATTTTGAAGTTGATTATTCCGTTTTGAAGTTGATTAACTTTCTGAAGTTGATTGATCCATTTTGAAGTTGATTAATCCAATTTGAAGTTGATTATTTCTCATTTTGAAGTTGTTTTCCATTTTGAAGTTGATTAATCCATTTTGAAGTTGATTATTCCGTTTTGAAGTTGATTAACCTTTTCTGAAGTTGATTGATCCATTTTGAAGTTGATTAATCCAAGAAAGTTGATTATTTTCATTTTGAAGTTGTTTTCCATTTTGAAGTTGATTAATCCATTTTGAGGTTGATTTTCCGTTTTGAAGTTGATTAATCCTTTCTGAAATTGATTGATCCATTTTGAAGTTGATTAATCCAATTCGAAGTTGATTATTTCTCATTTTGAATTTGTTTTTCCATTTTGAAGTTGATTAATCCATTTTGAAGTTGATTATTCCGTTTTGAAGTTGATTAATCCTTTCCGAAGTTGATTGATCCATTTTGAATTGATTAATCAATTTGAAGTTGATTATTTCTCATTTTGAAGTTGTTGATAGTTTTGAAGTTGATTAATCCATTTTGAAGTTGATTATTCCGTTTTGAAGTTCCGAATTAACCTTTTCAATGAAGTTGATTTTTCCATTTTGAAGTTGATTAATCCAATTCGAAGTTGATTATTTCTCATTTTGAAGTTGTTTTCCATTTTGAAGTTGATTAATCCATTTTGAAGTTGATTTTTCCGTTTTGAAGTTGATTAATATTTTCTGAAGTTGATTGATCCATTTTGAAGTTGATTAATCCAATTTGAAGTTGATTATTTTTTCATTTTGAAGTTGTTTTCAATTTTGAAGTTGATTAATCCATTTTGAAGTTGATTATTCCGTTTTGAAGTTGATTAATCCTTTCTGAAGTTGATTGATCCATTTTGAAGTTGATTAATCCAATTTGAAGTTGATTATTTCTCATTTTGAAGTTGTTTTCCATTTTGAAGTTGATTAATCCATTTTGAAGTTGATTATTCCGTTTTGAAGTTGATTAATCCTTTCTGAAGTTGATTGATCCATTTTGAAGTTGATTAATCCAATTTGAAGTTGATTATTTCTCATTTTGAAGTTGATTTTCCATTTTGAAATTGATTAATCCATTTTGAAGTTGATTATTCCGTTTTGAAGTTGATTAATCCATTTTGAAGTTGATTGATCCATTTTGAAGTCGATTAATCCATTATGAAGTTGATTATTTCTAATTTTGAAGTTGTTTTCCAATTTGAAGTTGATTAATCCATTTCGAAGTTGATTGATCCATTTTGAAATTGATTTATCCAATTTGAAGTTGTTTGATCCATTTTGAAGTTGATTAATCCAATTTGAAGTTGATTATTTCTCATTTTGAAGTTGTTTTCCATTTTGAGGTTGATTAATCCATTTTGAAGTTGATTATTCCCACAAAATTGATTAATCCTTTTTGAAGTTGATTGATCCATTTTGAAGTTGATTAATCCAATTTGAAGTTGATTATTTCTCATTTTGAAGTTGTTTTCCATTTTGAAGTTGATTAATCCATTTTGAAGTTGATTATTCCGTTTTGAAGTTGATTAAGTTTTCTGAAGTTGATTGATCCATTTTGAAGTTGATTAATCCAATTCGAAGTTGATTATTTCTCATTTTGAAGTTGTTTTCCATTTTGAAGTTGATTAATCCATTTTGAAGTTGATTATTCCGTTTTGAAGTTGATTAATCCTTTCTGAAGTTGATTGATCCATTTTGAAGTTGATTAATCCAATTTGAAGTTGATTATTTCTCATTTTGAAGTTGTTTTCCAATTTGAAGTTGATTAATCCATTTTTTGATTCCGTTTAAAAGTTGATTAATCCATTTTGAAGTCCATTTGAATCCATTTTGAAGTCGATTATTTCTCATTTTGAAGTTGTTTTAATTGATTAGTTGATTGATCCATTTTGAAAAGTTGTTTTCCATTTTGAAGTTGATTAATCCATTTTAAGTCGATTAATCCATTATGAAGTTGATTTTGATTTTCCATTTTGAAATTGAATTGATTTATCCAATTTGAAGTTGTTTTCCATTTTGAAGTTGATTAATCCAATTTGAATTTGATTAATCCATTTTGAAGTTGATTAATCTTTTTTGAAGTTGATTAATCCATTTTGAAGTTGATTAATCCATTTTGGAATTGATTAATTTTTTTACCTGAATATAAGTCCATTTTGAAGTTGATTATTATCAAGTTGAAAAGATATAGTAGTATAAGATATAATAGCCCAAGAATTTTTTTTATATAACGTCATATCGATTGTAGAATAACGATCTGAAGATATTGTGGAGTCTACTGCAATAATAATAATAATAATAATAATAATAATAATATGAATACGATGAAAGAATCGCTCGTCAAAATTTATAATATTGAGAATTGTTCATTTAAGAAATTGAAAGAATATTACATACGATATTGTTTAATGATATAAACAAAATGAGAAATAAAGTCATTACGATTGGTAAAGAATATAGTTCTGTGGCTTATTTGAACGATCCAGACATTTGTAGCCATCTGAGTAATCAAAGTGATGTCACAGATTAGCTTTTAAATATGCGATTTCAAATCTTACCAACAGCGTATTCAATATTTATATATTAATAGTTGCTTGTTTAAGGTCTTTGCTATAAACAGCCAATTATTTGTTATGAACGAAGAAATAAATGCCTACCCAAGTCAATAGAATCTTAATCCACTTAACACATCTGAAAGTCATTTCTAGTTTCCATAATGGTTCTCTTTTGTAATCGCCATTTGCTAGATGCGTTCGTTGTGTTCTCCTTCAACTCCATCACCGTTTGAAATCGTCCTTCCTCTGAATGTGGCAATGTTTTAGTTTTCAAAAATTCATCTCATATGAAGGACGCGCAAATGATTTAATATTTTCCGAACAGATCACCGACATGTTCAAAATTGAGAGAGAGTGACAGAGAGAGAGAGAGAGAGAGATAGAGAGAGAGAGGGGAGAGAGGGAGGGAGATACACAGAGAGAGAGACAGAGAGAGAGAGACAGTGAGGGAAGGGAGAGAAAGGGATTGGGAAGAGAATGAGAGAGAATGACAGATAGAGAGAGAGAGAGAGATGGAAGGAAGGAAAGAGAGGAAAAAGAACAAATTTGACTATATTAATATTTATATGATGCACTCAAAATCACTTTGTCTTTCATGTGCCGCTTCCCTATTTACCCCACCCCACCTCTGTGTTCTGCAATCGATTTCTCACAAGCTCCTTACGTAGTTTGCTTGATGTTTCCTTCCGTCCCGTCTTGCCCTCAATCTGTCCTGTGTTCATTTTTCAGGCCTTATTTGATTCTAAAGATAAATGTCTTTTTCCATTTTTCGTGAGACTTCCTTGTTGCTCCCATGCACCGTCCATGGTATTCTCAGTAGTCTTCTGTAGAACCATAAGTCTCTTCTTCATTTGAGAGAAAATTGTCCAGCATTCAATAAAATATAGAATGATTGGTATTACATAGCACTTCATCATCATTAATTCTTTGCTTAGTTTTTGGAAGGCATCTTTTGCTAGTCCAATACGCCTTCGGATTTCAGTGTCACATTCTTCGTCGTCTGTTAAAAAACTTTCCAGTTATATTTTCTGTACTTGATTGATTCCCATATTGCTTCATTGCACTCTGTCTTCTTAAAATTGACCGTTAGTCCTTTCTTCCCGCTTTCCTTTGCCATCTTGTCTAGAATTTCTTGCGATTTTTTTCCGTGTCTGTTTTCAGTACAGTGTACAGTATTGATGCTAAGACTGTATTCGCCAATAATACTTCCTGGTAGGACTTTTAGTTTTCTTAGGATGTCTTCAATGTTATGGTTAAATAAATCCAGCGAAAATACACATCCTTGTTTTTATATTTTAAAATATTTGCACTAGCAAAGTGTGAATTGAGTAAATCTGAGTTCTTGCTAAATGAAATTAGGATTTGGAAACAGGGAAAATCTTTTCTGAAGAAAATTTGTTATTTTTCTTCTTTTCTAAAAATCTTTAATGGATTTTATTCGCATTGATTTTTACCTTTTCTGTTTTTATTCTATCGACAAAAATAAATATTTTTCTTTATTTTTCTTTGTTTTTTCGGTAACCACTGTTTTGCAGACGATATTTTCAAATGTTCTAAAACGAATCGGACAAAATCGATAAATTGGGAAACAATTGTCGTTGGTAGTTTTGTTTTTAGGAAAAATATCTAGATATAGAAACGATAGTAGATTGAAGATGGAGATTCCGGGAATAAGTGAACGGTACCAATAGTCATAGGAACACCTGGACAAACACTTTAAGCTGTATTTAAATGATTTCAAGAAAATAATGATGTAATAAAAATCCATGAATGATAGACAGATCAAAAAAAGAAGTGGTGAAATTATTTAAAGAGTATGACCTAAAAATCACTGCTATAACGAATGCAAAAGTTATCAAATTTATTGAACTTGGATTTGAATATTGGTAGATATAAACCATATATAAAAGATTTACACAACAAGACATATGTAAATAGTGAATCAAATCAACCGCTATTATACTGAAACATTTACATAAATCAGTAGAATATAGATTACCAACTCACTTCAGCAATAAGACAATATTTGATGAAGCTAAAATTAAATATGTAAAAGCTCTAGAAGAAAGCAAACATAAAGTAAATATAGAAGACGTGGGAAAAACAAACAAACAAACAAACAAGGTAAAGCTACAAAAAGACATCGGAACGTGTTATGGTTTAACGCCCCCCACGCCTTACAACCACAACGTAAAAAACTAATGTTGGAAGAATCTTGCTCAAATTAAAAGATAAAATTTTAAAAATTCAACAAGATTAAAGAATATTTTCAACAAAAATAACGTATCAGCTACAGTTGCGTTAGGAATATAGAAAAATCGATACCTCATGATAACGATATGCTATTCAGGGCACCTCGACGTGGCGCAATGGTTAGCAAGCTTATCTCGTTACAACAATTACGACTGGATAGTCAGTTCGATTCTTCACTGGGTGCCCGCATACGTTCAGTCTCGTGCCACAGCTACACTTAGAAAATCATTTTGGCACTTCGACGTGTTGTAATGGTCAGCGATCTTGTCTCACTAGATCAATTACGAGTAGTGACTTCGATGCTCACTGGGTGCTCCACACTTTCGGCCTTGTGCCACATCTAAGGAACACTGTGAAAACCACCATAGCAATATGTTATTGAATAATTCTATAACCTGCAAAGAGAACAACTATAACGAAGCAAGAGTAGAAACAATTAAAAAATGCAACTGCCAAAATAATATGAACTGTCTCTTAAACGGTCAATGTTTGACTAATAATGTTATATGCAGAGCTAACATATTGTCTGTTAAAGAACAATGATTTTATATTGACAACCACAAACTAAGTTTAATTAACGATAAATATAAAAATAATACAGCTCTTCCTGATGGTATCCCTGTAATAGTCATTAAGAAGTGTGTACCAGAACTGGCTCCTGTTCTCTCTAAATTGTATAATAAATGCCTCGCTGCCTCTTGCTTTCCTGCCTGTTGGAAGTCCTCATCTGTTACCCCAGTTTTTAAGGACACGGGTTAACCGTCTGACCCTTCCAACTATTGGCCTATTAACCTTCTCCCTCTTTTGGGGAAACGACTAAAGACCGTAATGAAAGTAGAATTGGTTAAGCATCTCACATAGTAGGGCCTGTTTTCAGACAAGCAATATGGCTTTCATTTTTCCAGGTCAACTGCTGATGTATTGACGATAATCGCAGAAAGAGTCTGTCAAGCTCTAGATAAGGATGGTGATGTTTGGCCTGTAGCTTTGGACATTCCGAAAGCTTCGTAAGTTGAAAAGAATCTCCGGACAACCTTTTGAACTGGTTCAGTCTTTCTTATCAAATCGCGAAATGAAAGTTGAACGGCCACTCTTCTAGATCTTTCTTTACTAATGCAAGGCTCAATCCTCGGTCCTAATTTGTTTTGAATTTTCATTAATGACCTTCCCGATGGCATCGGCTCTCAACTTGGTATCTATGCTAATGACACAAACATTTACTCTTGTCTCGATAGCATGTCTGATTAGTTCGATACGGTCAAATTAGTGGCTGATGTCAAAAACGTCTGTTGTTAACTGGGCAAAGAATGCCTTATTAATTTTAACAACTTCAAAACTAAACTGCTCTCTATTAATCATCTGAGGGACCTCTTTCTTCCTTCCATCAGCATGGCTGATACTAACCACCAGGAGAGTGACTCGTAGCCTTTCCATTTGATCTCAGCCAAGGACGGCTGACATTAAATGGAAAGGCTACATTGAATCCATTACTAGGTTAGCTGCTAAGAAAGTTGGTTCACTGTGTCATGCTAGACAATTTTTTCTCTAAGTCTACCATTTGTCCATGTTTAGAAGATTGCTGTCGTATATGGTCCTTTGCCTCTGCTATATATCTAGAGCTCCTTGATAAAATCCAAAGAAGAATCAGCAATATTATTGGTCTTGATCTGGTATATCGGTTTCAGTTACTTTCCCACCGCCGTAAGGTTGCCTCCCTGTGCCTTTTCTATAAATACTTTCATGGTAACTGTTCGCATGAGCTCTTCGCTATGGTGTCTAGATTTAGGAATTTAGGCGCAGGACTAGACTGTCGCGATGTCTCACCAATTTACAGTTGAGTTGACTAAATGTAACCATAGGTTCTATGCTAACAGTTTCTTTTCTCGCACTTCTCGCTTGTGGAACTCTCATCCGGGCCCATGCTTTCAAGCCAACTATAATAATCTTCAAAAACTTAAATGCAATGCCAGTCGCTATCTACTGTCCTCCTGATTACTCTTCTTATGTTCTCGCTCCTTGTTAATGTTTCTGTTTTCTAATTCCTCAACACCCAGTAATCCCTTGTGTCTTAGTGGCTTTACTACCTTGCTTGGGTTAAACTCGATTAAAAAAAAGTTCTCTTTAAATATGATTGGAAATAAAAGATAATTAAGCTGTAGCAGATATTACGTGCGAATATCTTCAATGAGACTTGTATGTGTGTGTGTGTGTGTGTGCGTGCGTGTGTGTGTGCATGAGCCGTCAAAGTGCACATATTGCTCCTAGACAAAGCGTACAGATAAGGTGGATCCCAAGCACAGGTACCATCCAAATGGAAATAATTGTCATTTATATGGCTACTATAATAATAATAATAATAATGTGAGACTACATCAAATCGACGGTATGACAGCTAAAGAAACATATAGATGGCTACACAGAGAAAACGTATAGAGAAACAGAGACTCTGTTAAGGGTAGTTAAAAAAAAATAAGAACAAAATAGACAAGCGCTAAACACATGAAATGTAGGAAATTGGGGCAAAAAATATACAAGTAGAGGCATGACGGGGTGGAGAAAGAGAAATTGTGCAAACGACTGAATATATATATATATATATATATATATATTATTTAATTTATTATAATATATATTAATTTTATAATTTAATATAATATATATAATTTTTATATAATTATATAATTTATACATAATTAATTTAATAATTTAATATAATATATATAATTTTGCTCTTCAAAGTCTTCAAAGTCACCTTAGGTCTCATCAGGCTCGATCCATTCAAAGAAACCAGCAATCAATCCTTGTGTCTTCTTGTACACTCTGTCATAAAGTATGCAAGTCAGATTCTGGATTAACAAGACACATGAAAATTGACGTTGATGTCATACCTGTTGGGCTTGGGTGTCTCCCTTTCAGGTGCAACATTTGAGCAAAAACTTGTAACAGTAAGGCTGGTTAAAAGAGTCATCTGTTCGCTCATGATCGGTGAGTCTGAAAGTTATATAACAAAAAAAAAAATGTGGTCTTCTGTCAAGAAGTGACAATCACATATATATATATATATATATATATATATATATATATATATATGTGTGTGTGTGTGTGTGTGTGTGTGTGTGTGTGTGTGTGTGCATATAGCTAGAGAGGTTATATTGGATCGAGGGAACGGACCAAGAGATAAAAATGGGGGCTGTCAAGATGCATGGACAAAAGAAAAGATAACAGTGGGAGCAAAAGGTCGCTTAATTGGTTCCCAGTGTGTAGCAAATGAAATAGAAAAAGACCAGATAGAAGATG